AACCAAGGAGAAGAGCTATAATGTTCTTCTAAAGGAATTGAAGAAGACAGGAGCTGAACTGTTGGAAGAAGATGTGTCCGAAAGGGTCAAGGCAGATGAAGTTTTCCACAAAACAGTGACAAAGAAGGTGAGACAGTGGCTTCATGGATATGTGACGCTCATGCAAACAGCTATCGATTTGCAAGCTCTACTTCCTGCAGACAGAAAGGAGGAGCATCTGTCAAGCCACGCAGAAATAGGGGTACAGTTGAACCAGATGAAAGAGGGTGTGGATGCTTTGCAAAAGGAACTTGCATTGATTGATCATGAAACAAAGAATGAAGGTTCTGTGGCAGGAGCTAGTACGACGTCAAGTTCAATGAGAGCAAACCTCATGATGCTGCGTCTCCAGGATGAGAGAAAGAAGGCAGAAGTGAAGGCGCAACTGATGGCCGTGAAGAAAAGACAAGAACTTCTGAAGGAAAGACAGGATCTGGAGCTGAGAGAAAAGGAGTTGGAGTTACAAGTGCAGCTTGACATTCAAAACGCACAAGAGGATATCAGCGAAAAGTTTGAACAAGAACTTCTGAATGAAGATGGGCCAGATGAGTATCAAAAGGACACACAAGTGAAGACAAATGTGAAAACACAAGAGAAGAACTCAGATGGCAATGCTCAGGCCGAAGGAATTTTGACAGGACTGGCACATATCATATCAAAGTCACAGAACCAGCTACCTGTTCTTGAACCTGAGGTATTTAGGGGTGACGTTGAGCAGTTCGCAATGTGGCTCAAGTCATTTGAATGTTACATTGAGTCAAGGACTACTGAGAGCACAGAAAGACTGCACTATCTTGCAACCTATACAGGTGGAAGTGCTAAACGTGCAATTCAAGGACTTCTCCAGTTGAGAAGTGAGGATGCCTACTCTAAGGCAAAGCAGAAACTGATTGAAAGGTATGGAAACGACTTTGTCACAGCAAATGCCTATAGGCAGCGGCTCCACAGCTGGCCACATGTTCGGCCTGGAGATGGCAAGGCCCTTCGTGAGCTGGCAGATTTCCTGGAAGGTTGTCTGGTGGCAGCTCAGACAGTACCAGGACTCAACAATCTTGGGAACATCGATGATATTACCCAGCTGCTGAAAAGACTTCCACGATATCTTGTAGATCGCTGGAGGAGGGTTGTAGATGAGCACATCTATGAACGCGACAAGTCAGAGTACCCAGGCTTAGAAGTGTTTGTCAACTTCTTGACCAAAGAGGCTCGAGTCGCCTGTGGACCAGTATCGCTGGAGACAGACCAAGACAAACTGAAGAAAACAAGAGACAGAGCTGGAGCATTCGCTTCTTCGACTGGTGCAGTAGCTGAAAGGAAGTCGGACAGGAATTTCAGAAGAACTGATCCCAGCTACCAAGCAACCAGCAGTAGCCAATCAGCTCCTGACAGCTACAGGTGGAAGTGTGTCCTGTGCGTAGAGAGGCATCCACTGGACTCATGTGAGGTCTTCGCAAAGATGTCCCTGCCAGAGAAGCATGTTGTGATTCGCAAGCATGGAGTGTGTCGTGGCTGCCTGCGTATAGGCCACATCTGGAAGGAGTGCAAGAGGAGAAGAGAATGTGGAAAGTGTCACGGTGCTCACCCGACACTCCTACATGATGATGATTTCAGGTCATCAAGAGGGACTCCCGGACGATCGGTGTCAGTCGAAACACAAACGGCTACAACACTGAAAACTGAAATCAGATCACCGCCCAGCGATGCAGATGATGGAACCCCATGTTTTCATTCACTGATCGTGCCTGTACTGGTCCATCACCGGACAACACCGGAGCACAAGGAAATGGTTTACGCCATTCTGGATCCACAGTCTGATGGGACGTTCATAACTGAGAGCGTCTGCGACAAGATCAAAGCACCCGGAGTGGAAACTTCTCTGGAATTGAGTACGATTACTGGGAAAACCGAGGTGAAGGCGAAAGCAGTAACTGGACTGGTCATCGAAGCGCTGGACTCCAGCAGTGAGATCAGCCTCCCCACAACGTACACCCGTGAAGACATGCCTGTAGATCGACAACTGATCCCAAGGCGTGAGACAGCAGCAAACTGGTCTCATCTGAGAGAAGTAGCTGAGAGTTTGCCTCCCTACTACCCGGAGGCGTCGATTGGTCTACTCATTGGCTTGAACTGCAGCAAGGCCATCAAGCCTCAGGACATCGTGACAGGAGACGACAACGCGCCGTGGGCAGTCCGCACAGCGATGGGCTGGGGTGTCGTTGGCCTCGCTCGCGGCAACAGAACGTGCTGTTTTGCATCGTGCGATGGTGCGGCGAGTAGGCAGTGTCACTTCACGCTGAGGACCCGAGCGAGGGAAGTCGGGCCGTCACATTTGATTGAAATGTTGGAGACAGGGTTTCAGGACCAACCTCAAGAGAAGAAAATCTCACAACAAGACAAGAGATTTGTGGATCTAATGGAGACACAGATGCATGCCACAGAAGATGGTCACATGGAAGCGCCACTTCCACTGAAGGACCCAGAGGTTGTGCTGCCAGACAATAAGAAACTTGCAATGCAAAGGCTGCAAGGGTTGAAGAAGAGATTTGAAAGGGATCCAGGATTTCAGGCAGAATACAACACATTCATGACAGAAATGCTGGAGACCGGAGTCGCTGAGCCTGTGCCTGAAGAGGAACTTGGTGGAGCCGGCAGCAATGGAGTGTGGTACCTGCCGCACCATGGGGTCCGTCACCCTCGTAAACAAAAGATCAGGGTGGTCTTTGACTGCAGCTGTGAATTCGATGGACGGAGCCTAAACAGTGAGCTCATGCAGGGACCGGACATGGCCAATAACCTCTGCGGCATCTTGACTCGATTCCGTAAGCTCCCCGTGGCTCTCACTTGTGACATCAGAGGGATGTTTAACCAAGTGAAAGTGAACCAAGAACATCGGAACCTGCTACGCTTCCTCTGGTGGAAGGATGGAAACCTGCAGGAAGAACCGACAGAGTTCAGAATGACTACGCATCTGTTCGGGGCAACATCGTCCCCATCTTGTGCGATGTTCGCGCTGAATAAGACAGCTGAGCTCTATGAAGAAGAGTGTGGCCCAGAAGCTGCAGCCTTCGTGCGCCACGATTTCTATGTGGACGACGGATTGATCTCAACTCCGGACAAGACGTCGGCGTGTGACCTGGCTGGAAGAGCAACAATGTTGTGTTCCAAAGGTGGTTTCCAGTTGCACCAATTCACCTCGAACGAGCCGGATGTCATCGCCAGCATCCCCGAAGAAAATCGATCGAAGAATCTTCAGAACAAGGACGTCGTGGACGAGTACAAACCTGTGGAACAGGCTCTTGGACTTTCGTGGAACATTCAAGATGACACGCTTCTTTTGACAGGAGACCTGCCCGACAAACCAGTGACTCGACGAGGGATTTTGTCTACCGTCAGTTCCCTATACGACCCCCTGGGGTTGGTGTGTCCCTTCACGTTGCAGGGAAAGCAGATACTGAAGCGACTCTGTTGTGATGGCGGTGGATGGGATGAGCCGGTACATGAAGAGTGCTGGCTTGATTGGAAAGCAGACCTGGCTACACTTTCCACTTTTGCAGTGCCCAGGTGCTACGTTCCATCCTCATGTCTGGTGGAGTCCTACGAGCTGCACAACTTCTCAGACGCCAGCCTAGAGGGGCTCGGGGCCTGCAGCTATCTGCGAATGAAGACTACCGATGGACAGCTCTATTCGTCACTGGTGCTGGGGAAAGCCAGAGTAACGCCGAAACGCGTGACGACTGTTCCAAGGCTGGAGCTGGCAGCGGCACTTCTTTCGACAAAAAACAGCCAGTTCCTGAAGCAAGAGCTGAATATTCCGAACCTGAGAGAATACTTCTGGTGTGACAGCAAGGTAGTATTGGGTTATATCGGAAACGAAGACAAACGTTTCCACGTCTTCGTGGCGAATCGTGTACAGCAAATTCGCCAGTACACATCACCTGATCAGTGGGGATTCGTATCCTCTGAAGTCAATCCAGCAGACTACGCTTCCCGCGGCCAGAGGGCGTCTGACCTGAAGAAGAACGACATCTGGTGGAAGGGACCCGAGTTCCTTAGGAAACAGGACGAGGAGAGGACGCCTAGTACGTTCGAAGTCCCTGATGACGACCCAGAGGTAAAGAAGATGACGACGCTTGCAACTGCTGCTTCCGTTGCACAACAGTTTGCGAGTCTGAAGGAGCGGCTGCTGTACTTCTCTGATTGGTTCAGAGCTCGTAGAGCTGTTGCCCTCTGCATCAAGTTTGTGAGACGTCTCCGACATCGGATCAAATCGAAGACGACGAAACCAGAAGGAGATGAATCCGAGGAGGGCTTGTGTGCTGAAGATCTGCTGAACGCAGAAAAGTTGATCCTTCGACAGGTCCAGAAAGAAGACTTCAATGAGGACGTGGCTGCCCTTTCAGCTGATGGAGAGCGATCTGGTGACCCCCGAAGAAAGAGAACCGTTGGCAGCCTGCGAGGACTAGATCCTTTCGTGGATCAGGATGGGCTACTTCGAGTAGGAGGACGTGCTCGAAAGAGCAGCTTATCAATGGAGCTAGCTCACCCGATCATACTACCGAAACGAGGACACATTACAGACCTGATTGTTCGTGAGTGCCATGAGCGAACTCACCACAGTGGAAGAGAGATGACTTTGAATGAAGTCAGACAAAGAGGTTTCTGGATCGTGCAGGGAAGATCGGCAGTTGTGAGGATCATCCTCAGCTGCGTGAAGTGCAAGAGGTTACGTGGAAATCCCTGCACTCAGAAGATGGGAGACCTGCCTATGGAGCGTTTGGAGGCGACGGAACCTTTTGAAAACAGTGGAGTGGATGCGTTTGGCCCATTCTTTGTAAAGGAGCGAAGAAGCGAAGTCAAACGGTGGATACTGCTCTTCACTTGCCTGAGTTGTCGTGGGATCCACCTGGAAACTGTCAACAGCATGACAGCCGACGCCTTTCTGAACGCATATAGACGATTTGTGTGTCGCCGTGGCCCTGTGAGAAAGCTGTTCTGTGATAACGGCACAAACTTTATTGGCGGCAAAAGCACATTGGAAGCAGCCATGATGGAGATGGAGAAGGGGAAGATCAGGCGAGAGCTGCTGAAGGATCAATGTGATTTCATTGAGTTTTCCTTCAACGTCCCGTACGCGAGCCACATGGGCGGCTCATGGGAAAGGCTCATCAGGTCGACAAGAACAGCATTGACTAGTATCCTGGACGGACACAGTCATCATCTGGACGACGAGCTGTTCCGGACGTTTGTCGCGGAAGCCGAGAACGTCGTCAATAGTCGGCCCATTTCTGTTTGTAGCATGACTAACACTGATAGCGTAGAACCTATCACTCCAGCACAGCTACTCACATGTAAATCCAAGGTCCTTCTTCCTCCACCTGGTGTCTTCTGCCGTGAAGACGTCTACGCCCGTCGAAGATGGCGGCGCGTACAACATCTGGCGGACGTATTCTGGTCGCGATGGCAGCACGAGTACGTCCCCACTATGCAGGAGCGACGGAGATGGATCGACAAGGAGCCTAACATGAAGGTCGACGACCTCGTCGCTGTGGCCGATGACAGTCTTCCGCGCTCTCAGTGGCATCTGGAACGTATAGTGACCACGTACCCGAGTGCGGATGACTTGGTGCGTAAGGTGCGAGTGCGGATCGGCGCAGCCGAATACGACAGGCCAGTGCATCGTCTGGTCATGATCATGAGGGCGCACGACGGAGATTCCCGGTCGGGGAGCCTCTGAACGCCTGGTGAGCGGACGACGAACTAGAGGTGCTTGGCGTAGGATTAGCGGTCCACATGCCGTGAAAGGACAGCTGTGAGAAGTGTAAGATGCATTGAGACCGTAGTCTATAAGGACTTGATCCTTGGAACAACTTCTGTTTCATGGTCTCATACTTGTTCGTGTAATCGACGTATCTGTTAGTGTTATCCGAAGAGAAAATTCTGTTGAATTTTGGGGAGCCATGTTCCCGCTGGCATCAATTTACTGCAGTGGTTTAGGTGACCACCAGCGTGGCCCGCGTGGGCCCTGTTTTTTGTCGCATCTGCGCAAGAAATGTTATTGTTTTGAACGAAAAGCGAGCCGAGGGACATGGGACGGAGTGAGTAATGTATTTTCTTTAATATTTTGGTATGTATGCTTTTGTTTATGATTAGATGATGTTTTTGCCTAAGTTTGTTATGTTGAAGAGTGAACAAAAACATTCTAGTCAGATATTATAGTCAGTTATCAGTTGGTTGCGAATGTGGCGCAGGAATGTTGAGGAAACGAGGGTTATAATACCGTGTTGTGTCTTTTCAGTTTTTTACGTGGCATTGCGGATCTGGATGAATATACTGAATTAAAAGGAAAACTGATGTCCTATCCACATGCTGCTACAAGAATAACAGCCCTACACATAGACACAAACATACCCACACTTGACAGGCGCCGCAAATTTCTATTGCTGCGCTATTATATACGATGTGCCTCCCGCCCGGATGATATCGCCTACCAAATTCTCACAAACACCCAATCGTATGCGCCACTCACAAATCAGCGTCGCTATCCACTGATCTCTCGTCGCCTCCAGAAAGTAATTGATCACTTTCAAATAACCATTCCAACCATATTGCCAATTCCCCCTATAACATCAGCTTACCTTGATCGCATAGATAATATTGAATACCTCTTCAATGAGAAAAAAGATAGAGTAACAGTAACAGAAGTAAATCAACTCTTTCTCGAATATTGCCACACACATCAACAAACAACATTCTACTTCACTGACGGATCTGTCATGAACGGCAAATCGGGAGCAGGAGTCTTCTCTACCCATTATAGAAAATCAAGTCGTCTTCCGGATATTTTCTCTATCTTTTCAGCCGAGCTTGCGGCTATACTTCATGCTATCAATCACATCAAAAAGAAAAAAGTTAAGAACAGCGTGATCTGCACTGATTCTGCCTCATCACTTTCGGCAATCAAATCACAGAATCAAACCGACCACCACATTGTATACCTGATTAAGAAGAACATAATTAACCTAAACAAGATAGGATACAACATCAGACTTCTATGGATCCCGGGACATAGTGGCATCCCGGGAAACATAAAAGCCGACGAGCTTGCCAAACAAAGCCTTAATCTCTCTAATCGTAAAGAAGATCGCTGTACACACCAAGACATCCTTTCGCACCTCAATCACACATTCCGAGACCTGCGCCAGTATGACTGGCAGGCCCTTCCCTACGATCATCTCTTTGAAATCCACCCGCAAATTGGTAACTTCACATCCTCTAATCAAGATAATCGACTCAAGGAAATAGTTCTAGCCAGATTGAGGCTAGGACACACAAAGATAACACATGATTTTATCATAAAAAATGAGCCACCCCCGAGCTGTCCACACTGCGCCGCACACACCCGACTCAACATTGCCCACCTCCTTCTCAACTGCCCACACTACGACCAACACCGTCAACACATCATTCACTACACAAACACACACAACCTCAGCCTGGACCTTCCAACTCTCCTGGGTGATGATCATCCAGATCTAATTGAACTTCTCTTTACCTTCCTCAGTGATTCGAATCTCATCAATAGCATATGATCGTAACCTTGCACACAGTATATAGATGTCCTTTGATCTTCCATCGTCGTTTCCATCCGCTTCGTTTTTGCCTCCATTCGCTTCCGTTCTCCTTTGCCTACATACGGGTCGCCTTTTCCAAGTGTGTATATATATGTGTGTAAGCTCGCTGTTCTCGACAGGGATCCCTCCTAAAGGTTGAGGCCCACTCGAGACACAGAAGCTATCTGGCCGGACACCCCGGGCGCGGCCTAGGTGGCTTGCATCCATGGCCCCCGGGAGTGGATGAAGGTGATAGCTCCACAAACACACATACACATTAGCGATATAACGTAACGTAATATAACGTAATTAAAGAAAGGGCTTTTTACTGTGTACTTTGGCTGAAAGCACAGGTTTTTGCCCTCTTGGTTAGGCACCAGGTTTTTTTCTAGTTAGGACTTTTCCTGGTAAAAGTTCACCCCACAACAACAACACACACACCAAACAACAGCACACAAAACAGCAGCAAGTCTCAACAGCAATCTCTATGTAAGTAACCAAATTTATCGGTCTCGCCTATCTGGCACCTTTTCGGCCTTCCCTTTGTTTTGCAACCCACCGGACGCCACATGAGCCGGTCTAACGTAAAGTTTGTCTTTGCTTTGCCTCTTGGGCCGGAATAAAATAGCCGGCAATTAACTTAACGTAAAACAAAAGATCTGGCTAATTGCCAGCAAGTAACTTCCCTTCCCCTGCTATAGCCTTGTGCTAGCGGGGATGCAAAATTCAAAAAAAAAAAAAAATAGTGCTTAGGTACCTATAGAAAATTACGACTGCCATAGATAATTGCAATCTTTATTTTAATAATTGTTTTGCTATTTATGCTGTAATATTTACCAGTGAAGACATGATCTGCGGTGCACGTCACGTCTCGGTGCCGTGGACTGCCACGGACGGCAGCGTGTCTATGACACCCGGTCCGGCGTCGTGCAGTGTGTGTATTGGGGAGGGGAGGCGGAAACAATTCCGGACAAAATATCGAAAAGCAAAATATCGAATAACAAAATATCGAAGACAAATTATCGAAGTGGCAGAATATCGAAAGCAAAATATCGAATGCGCAAAATATCGAAATCGCAAAATATCGACATCGCAAAATATCGACATCGCAAAATATCGAATTGCATAATATCGAATTACAAAATATCGAACTCGCAAAACATCGAATAGCATAACCCTAGAACGCCTAGGGGGGGGGGTTGTATCAACCCCCCTGAGGTTTTTTCGAAGTGCACGCTAAACGGCTTGTCGTAGCGGGCTGAAATTTTCAATACTCTCTGGGGCAACCTTTGCGCATCTTTTGCCGAAAAAAAATTGATCGGGTCATGTCAGGTCACGGAGTTATGACGTCATAAGAGGTACAGCCTCCGGCCGACAGTTACCAAACGTGTGCGCCGAATCCCTAGGTTTTCTGCCGGTGATACCCACATTGTTTGATGGATCATGATGAAACTTCCCATGCATGTTGGGGCAAGCATTGGCTATCGTGTGGTGCAAGAAAATTGACCGGGTCAGGTCAGGTCACGGAGCTATGACGTCACAAGAGGAACAGCGTCCGGTACTATTTTTGAAAAGCGCCCGAACCACTATTTTGCTAATTCTTGTCACCTCAATGGGAATATGCAGCAATATTAGCTTCTATAGGGAGCAAATGGACCTCCCAAATCCAAAAATACAATCAGATTTCAAAAATTTAAATTTTGATTTTTCGAATTTCTGCCGCCGACTGTGACCTTGCCGACTTCCGGCGCTCCCAACGCGCCATTTTTAGAGCTAGGGAAACGAAATACATACCAAACGATAGAGAATTGATCAAGGAACACGTTAGTGAAGGTTTCAAGTCGATATCTCCCACCGTTTTGCCGCAATCGCCGCGGAAAGTTGAAAAAGTTTGATTTTTTCGGAAAATTTGACCTTTGACCGGTCATAAGTAGGTCAAATGTTGACCTAGGACCAAAAAATATACCACCAATCGCGAGATCTCGTTGAGAGCAATCCGTTGGTTTTTTCCGCTAAGCTCTACGACCTTCCGTTTCGAAACGCCAGGGGGGGGTCGTAACAACCCCCCCCCCCCTGGTCGTTCGTGTTATGAGAAATGGCCTGGTCGTGCGAGGGATAATATCGAAAGCAAAATATCGAAACGTGAAATATCGAAAGACAAAATATTGAAAGACAAAATATCGAAAGACAAAACATCGAAAGACAAAATATCGAAAGACAAAATATCGAAAAGGCAAAATATCGAACGCAGAATATCGAAAAGACAAAATATCGAACGCAAAATATCGAACAGACAAAATATCGAAAGACAAAATATCGAGAAGGCAAAATATGGAACGCAGAATATCGAAGACAAAATATCGAACGCAGAATATCGAAAAGACAAAATATCGAACGCAAAATATCGAACAGACAAAATATCGAACGCAAAATATCGAAAAGGCAGAATATCGAACGCAGAATATCGAAAAGGCAAAATATCGAACGCAAAATATTGAAATGACAAAATAACGAACGCAAAGCGTCGAAAAGGTAAAATATCGACTTGAAATGGCCCTCTGCGGACTCCTTAGAGCTTTATCGAACTCTGTCAAAATTAACGGTTTCGCTCGACAGATCTTCCGGGGCTATCAAACATAGGCGGATCCAACCCAGAGTTTTGGGAGGGGCAAACCATCACAATTTATTGTTTCTTTTCATGCACTGCCATAGACGTAATGTTAAAAATGATGTCCTTTGTGGAGGGCAATTGCCCTATTTGCCCTACCCTGGATCCGCCACTGCTATCAAACACCGTTTGAGTTTTGAAAATCGGTCCAGTAGCTTCGGAGATAGGAGGGGGGCTCCAAATAGCCCCCCCCAGTCAGTTGTGTTCAATATACGCTCCAGGGGCCTACCTGCCTCTAAGACCCCACACATACTTTTGGGGCCCAAACGCTTGCTCCTGAAGGCCCCACTGCTCCTTTCCTTTCCTGAAGGCTTGCTCCTTTCCTCTATTCAGTCCTCCATACTGGCTCTTTAGGCTAAACATCGGCTCCTGGTGGCCATCCCGGCTTTGGAGGGTCTCCATACAGGCTTTTTTGGGTCCGATGCCAGTCTCGGAGTCATCAAAAGCCTTTCGAGCCTACGAGTATACTGCTTTCTGAAACCCTTCAGCAACTTCTGAGGGACCGACCCTGGTCGGAGGGCTCATTCGGTCTGGGGAGTCATGTAGGTCTCTGGAGGAGCCTCTAAGCCGGGGTCGGTTTCCAAGGGGTTTTAAACACGGTCTTCTAAGAACGGTCTCGTAGGGCCCTTAATGGTCCACTGCGGATCCAGAAAAGTGGGTTGAGATGCTGAGGGTGGTGGCTAGACTAAAACAAGATAAGATGATAAAAACTAGCTGCATTTGCTTCGTTATGCTTTATTTGAGATAGGTACACTGTAATTTCAAATATTTTGCAGAACTTGTGTGTTTGGGGATAGTTTTCCAAAATCTTCGTTTTTCATAAAGCAATGATAATCACTCAAATTTCCAAGTCTGTCATGGACCCGCTGATTGCTCTTTGAGGCCTACAGATAACAGAGGGCCCGATAAGTTCGACAGAGCTCAAAGGAGTCCGCAGAGGGCCATTTCAAGTCGATATTTTACCTTTTCGACACTTTGCGTTCGTTATTTTGTCTTTCCGATATTTTGCGTTCGATAGGTATTTTGTCTGTTCGATATTTTGCGTTCGATATTTTGCCTTTTCGATATT